CAAACATACAAGTTTCATGGTAACAACCAAGACAACAATCAAACCCTAGCATATTATGGTTCTAACAAGACACATAAACAATTAAAATGAGGCATAGTGAACACATTCAAGAGGTTACAACATCAAGAATCATGACAAAGTTCACAGATGAAGTTCAACAGGCCATTTTCACATATATGCATTCACAAAAGCAAGTATGAACATGGTAAGGCAATTAATAAAACATATTTGAGCATTTAAACATGTTATAATATATATGTGAATCATACAAGATCAAGCTCACAAGAAAAATCAAGTTATAAGTTTGAAAAAGTTCAAGAATACCAAGGTAAAAACCCTAAAAACACATGATTTTCAAGTGGATCAAAGTCTTTCTAGGATAACAATCCTTGAATTATTTCTTCACTCAATGAAAATATACATGATAAGGAGTAGTTTGCAAAATTAATGGAATCAATAGCACAAAAACTGAGCAAGTTATGATCATTGCAAGTTGGTGCACCAAGAGGGCAAAAACTAGGGCAAGGCTAGGTCACAACCTAAGGGTTATTTGCGTGAAGAATTGGAACTCAGTCAATTCTTAACCAAATGGAGTGAAACAAAAGTTAAAATTGCGTATTTTTGAACAAGTAATTCAATGGTACCATTTTTTCCATACCATACACCCACAAAAAAATTCGATAGCAACTTTGGTTTAGGCAAGTTTGGTGACAACCAAAAGCGTGAACATGTGAATAATCATGTGTGGTAGTGTGCTTGGTGAAACAAGTGTACAAACATCACATATACATCATATTAAAAGGTTAGCATAAAAGAAATCAAGAGATGCACACATGGTTTGGAAGATTGGATGCAAAACGCAAAAAGTGACTAGGTTGGGCCTAGTTTGTGACCTAGCTTGTGACCAGAATTTGACAGTTCAAAAGCTACATGTTTTGATGCAAGTAATGATTCATGCATGACACATAAAATATATAAGACATTTTCAAACAATGTACAACACTAAATCATAGCTAAAAGTCATGGTAGCATGTGAAATGCAAGTGAAAATTTCATGTTTTCTTGTGTTTTAGGCTTACCTCTTGAAGCAAGCTTGCACAATAAGAAAACCGGAGACTTTGAGTGTTCCTCTAAGGTATAAAAATGCTCATAGGATGATGAAAAGATGCTCTATATTAATCTCAAGCAAGTTGATGGGCAGAATGGCTTGCAAGTGAGAAAAACCTCCAAAATCCAATGATTTTCAAAGACAACTCCTTCAATCCATGTTACAGAAGTTTGGATTGGTTATGTACAGATTCTGTATGTAAAATATGAAGTGTTAGAGGTCTTAAAGCTCAAGGAAAGGCAAGGGACCAGTGGATGTCCTTTAAAACGCAAAAAAGCCAACAAAATGAGGTTTTGAGGGTTGACTTTTGGATTGGATGAGTTCCTGGCTAAGGTGAGGGTTTAGACAGCTCTAACACATCATTTTTGATGTGTTTGAGGCTTAGTTTGAGTTTGAAAGTGTTTGGAAAAGGTTTTAGGGGTGAAAGTGTAAAACTATTTTTTTGTGGTTTTGGAAATTTAGTGAGATTTTGCAAAAATATTGGAACTAGAAAAAAGAGAGAGTTTTTGCTTGGTTTGATGCTTTCTCTGGTGTGTGTTTGATGTGTAGAGGGTACTCTATTTATAGGAAAAGTGGAAAGCAAGGATTTTGTTGAGTTTGAAGTCTCTTACTAACTAATTCACTTAAGAACCAACTTGTTAGTAATCATGGTTTTCCTTGATTCATGTGATCAAGTACAAGGCTTGATGGTCTCAAGATAAGCTTCTGATTTTTAGAGGGACTTTGGAGTGTGGAAGGAGATAAGGGAGTGGCTCAAGGCAGATTTTGAGGGAAAATGTTACTTTATCAAAATAGCATGGATCACTTTATGCCACAAATGAAAGATTTCCTTGGTTCCACTCTTCAATATTTGTGTAATCCTTGGATTTTTTGTGTAACACATAATTTATGGTATATCTAGCCACTAATCAACTTAAACCAACCAAATTGACAATAAAGAAATGGTTTTGTAACATGTCATGACAAGTTGGGATTTTGTATTTCAAGCTTTTGGACCACAACTTCCTTCTTTCGAACGTCCTAGCTCACAAATGATATGGAGGACTTCTTGTAATTTTTTAAAAGCCCTCAACATTTTATACAACTTTCATGCTTTACACAAATTCAAATTTCAAGTGGAACTAGGTCAAAAATCCTCTTTAAGTTGGCTGAGAATTTGACTTAAAAGTGCCAAAAACATGAAATTTTTCTAAGTGTTTTTTCCCTCTTGCATTGTCTTTGATCATAAATCAAAATCCATTCATTTTTTAAACATAGTTAACTTTGGAAATTTTGTAGAACTTCTCAAGACCTTTCCAAAAATCTTTGAACCACTCCATTTGGATGTGTGGTTAGGAAGTTATGGCCTTGCCCCTTTCAAAACCCTAATTTCCCGACTTTTCAATTACTTCTCAATTCTTGATCCAATGGTCACCAAACTTCATGATTAGATATGAAATATAATTGGTAACATAATTGTATTCAATTTTGGATCAAAACCCCGTTGGTCAATAAGTTGACTTTTCAGTTAGACGAACCGAACGATCGAAAACCTCTGAATCGACTGTTAGCGTTCGGGGTTCCCTGAGACCTTGAAACTTTTTGAGGGGTCTTCAATAAGTCATATGAGCTTTATGGAACATGATTCCACCATTGGAATTCCATTTAAATCAAAATTCAAACTACAATTGACTTTTCTGATCAGAAACCCTAATCTGGGGTCCTAGACTGTTCTGTTCTTCTTTCTTGGGTAACAACCTCAAATTGGATTCATGCTTGACCCAATATATTATCTTTGATGAAGTAGAGAGTTGCTACATGGAGAATCAATCCAAAATCTTAACTGATCAAACCATAGAAACCCCGATTATCAACTGTTTGAAACCCTAATTCACCCGCATCTTAACAAAGATCAAACTTAAAAGGGGTTAAGGTTAGATAAACAAATGTTCATGCTTTAGCACTTGCACATATGCTCACATGAGTTACTTAAGATCAAATTTAATCACAACCATACAACTTAATATATTATAATCGTTAAACAGTCCCCTTACTTGATATGTATATAAGGAATATTATCAATAATTAGCAATCTTGGTTTTAGTTCAGATCGACCAATTTGCAATTTTTGTTAAGAGACTAATCATCATTTAATTTAGACTTTCGTGTTTTTTTTTATACTTTTTTTCTTCCAACTTTTATCTGATTTATTTTTAATCTTAGGTTGCATAGCCTCCGATTTTCTTGTACCTTTTACTTTATTATATTATTAATTAAAGTATGCTCTTGCATAATATAGTTTTCTTTAAAGATATGAAATTCAAATTTATCCCTATAAATAAGGTTTGCATGACTTGGTTCATATAACATTAATAAGATTGAATAATGAAAAACTAATACCTATGTTTATGAATTCATCATAATAACGCTTTTAGCATGAAAAACATGATTGATTCATAAAATAAATTATTTATGAAGAAACTAAATTAGTTAACATCAAAATATGCATGATTTATTGGGCTGTCTTTTTCTTTAAAAGAGTATCATGTTCAAAATGATTCTACCTTTACTCACACCAATATTTTATGAATTTGTCTATAAAATATCAAGTTTTATCCGAGACTAAGACATAGTTTATACCATAACTTTATCTATTCGATGTTTTTATATTTAATCATTTTATCTTCATCAATTTTTCATAGAAAATAATGCAACATACAACTTTGCGTAATACACAATGTAACAAGTTGAAAATATTAAAAAGATATATCTTACAAAATAAGTAAATTTGTTAAAGATAAAAGAAGTTAAAAGAGAAGTAATAAAAAAACTATGTCAAATTAACGGAAAATTTGATTAAACATTCGTTCATTTTAAAATTTCTTTTTATTTTTTTAAATATTTATATTTACACATCGCAATTTCAATTATAATATTTTTATTTAAAATTTCTTTTTATTATACCTAACAATTATTTTTATTTTTCTTAATTCCCCCAACTTCTTATAATATTTTCATATTTTTATTTTTGTAAAAAATAGATAAATGTTTATAACAAAATAATATTTTAAATTATTAAAATGTTTCAACAATATTCAAATAATCGATTGAACAATATCTCAAAGACAATATTTATAATAAAAAACTAGACTCTCTAAAACTTCAACCAAATCTACTAGTTTATAAATTTTCAAATTCTAACTAGATGAAATTTGTTTAATATTTTTATTAAAAAGATAATAATCTTTTTAAATTTAAAGGAGAAGATATTTCAAAGTCAACCCAAAAATTCAACTAAATCTATTAATTTATAAAATTTCAAATTCTAACCGATGAAATTTGTTTAATATTTTTATTAAAGAGGTAATAATATATATTTTTTTATAAACAAATATCGTATTGAAAAGGACACTAGGAGTGTCCAACCCAATAAAAAGGAGAACAAAGAGGGAAAGAAAACAGAATCCTAAACAGAAGACAGAAAACTATCCAAGTTCTCTCCCATCCTAAAGAAGAGATTGAATATGATACAATATTTTTAAAATATTTTTAAACTTAATATTTTTAAACTTAAAAGGAGAAGATATTTCAAAATCAACACCAAAAACACGTTTCTTTTAGATTTCTATATCATTTATTTGGTTGGTTGAGAGTTTTTTTTAGATCACATGAGTATTTAAGAAAGAGGGCATGAGGTGACTATTTATTTTAAAATGATATTTGGTTACTTAAAAATGAGATATTTTATGATTCTTATATATAATTTATTATATTAACAAAATTTATCTATTATTCAGCCCGATCCAAACCCTTCAACAAAACCCAAAACCCTTATTCTTTTATTTTCCATAATTATATTCTCTGCTCTCAATATTCTACTCTTTCTTCAGCTTTCTCTCAACGCCACTGAACAATGGCAATGGTGAAGTCTCCAAAGAAACATGTCAATCTTTTCTTTTCCCTGGACTGTGAACAACTTGCCAACAAAGTTGCTGCTCATTCACACAATAACATCACTCTCCAGAATATCAATTGGAGGTACTTCCTCTCTTTCTCTCTATTTCGGTTTTGATTTTTCATTTAGCTATGTCTCATGTTAAGCTTCTGCTGCTAACTGCTAATAGATTTGCGTATTTGGTCTTGACTATCAATTTTTTTATTTTTAAATAGTAAAGTTTGTATTTTTGACCAATTATTTTAATGTTTTAAATATCCTATTTTTTTGGTACTCTGTAAATGTTATGCTGAATTAACCATGCTGTGTCTTTTTGGTGTTAAGGTTGTGCTACATACCGCTAGCTACATTTTTTGGGTTTTTGGGACCTCGGTCCGTACAGGTGTTGTTCTTTAACATAAAAATGGTGAATATCGGCCGTTTTTGCCTACCGATCTGTCAATACGGTTTTCGCTGTTGCTGTCAATACCGTTTGTTTTGTTGCTGCCGTTTTTGCATACCAATTTGTCTGGTCGCTGTCAATACTTTGTCGCGACTGTTTTTGCATACAAATTTTTTCGCGGTCGCTACCTTTTCTTTTAGAACCTTGACTGCCATCAGATTTGTGTATTTGGTCTTATACATTCTTTAGGTTAAAAAGGTTTTATGTTTGGGTAAACTGAATTAAGCATGTTGTTATTAAAGGATTTCATTTATTAGAGGATTTCATCAATTAAATTCTAAGCATTAGTGTCATAGTAAACTGAATTAAACATGTTGTTATTAAAGGATTTCATTTATTAGAGGATTTCATCACCTAAATTCTATAGTACAATTTTTAGGTTTGGAGATGATACCTATATCTCACTTCAATAGGGTTTTATAAGAGATTTTAATTGTTGGTTGTCAGCTAGGGGAACACAAGAAATTCCCAATGTTCTGCATTCGGAACTTCCAGGTCTGTTTTAACAAAATTGTTAACGAATCAGTTTTTATGATTATCCAGGTCTTTTGCCGACGGGTTTCCAAATATATTTATAAATAATGCAGAAGAGCTCCGGGGTCAACATGTTGCCTTTTTGGCATCATTCAGCTCTCCAGCTCAAGTCTTTGAACAACTGTCTGTCATATACGCACTCCCTCGTCTATTTGTTGCTTCGTTCACATTGGTGTTGCCTTTCTTCCCAACTGGATCATTTGAGCGTATGGAAGAAGAAGGTGATGTAGCAACTGCCTTCACCCTTGCGAGGATGTTGTCAAACATTCCGATTTCAAGAGGTGGCCCAACTAGTTTAGTCATATATGACATTCATGCTTTGCAGGTTTGTGTTTTTAATGCATTCAAAGGAAGTTCCACTCTACGTTTTGCTATGTGCTGTATAATTTAAGGTTCTTTATGAATGCTATGGAATATACTTGTATTCTCTAGTTTAATTTGACTTATGTAGCATATTCGTGAACATTTTTCTTTTAACATTCTTACTTAAACTCTTAAGTGATGACTTCTTTTAAGAAACTTATTGAGTTTAGGAGCATGCTTAGGGTATGTACTTGATCTTTTAACAGTGTGCTATAGTTTTTTTAGTACTTATGATTTGAGATTTCTCAGGAGAGGTTTTATTTCGGAGATGAGGTTTTGCCGTTGTTTGAGACTGGTATTCCTCTTCTAAAGCAACGTCTGCAACAACTTCCTGATGCTGATAATGTGAGTATTATGCATTGCTTCGGTCATTTCTTTCATATGTAGGTCAAACCAAAAATGTTAAAACTTAGCATGTTTTCTACATTTCATGTAAATTCACATACTTGTGATTCTCATTTTTGTTAGTCTGAATTCCTTTTTGTTATTATCAGGTAGTTATTGCATTTCCAGATGACGGTGCATGGAAGCGATTCCACAAGCTGTTCGACAATTATTCAGTGGTTGGTCTCCAATAAGGATCTCTGTATTTAATTTATATTTTATTTCTTTTTAGTTTTCTGAATTTTTGGAGTGGCAGGTTGTATGTACAAAGGTACGTGAAGGTGACAAGAGGATAGTTCGGCTCAAGGAAGGCCATGTCTCTGGTCATCATGTTGTGATTGTCGATGATTTGGTCCAATCTGGAGGCACCCTAATCGAGTGTCAGGTAAATTATTAGTTTTTTACTCATAAAACGAGTATACATTTTTAAAAAGGTTTTGTATATCTTTGAAGATTACAGTTGTGTTTGCCAACCAAAAATGCAATTTAACTTCTCTCTCTTCCCTCAGAAAGTTTTGGCTGCCAATGGCGCAGCAAAAGTGAGTGCCTACGTCACACACGGTGTGTTCCCTAACCAATCATGGTTGCGGTTCACTCATAAAGATGGTTAGTCCTGTCTTAATTCTCAACAACTTCTATGCCGCTATGTTTTCATATATTTGAATGTTATTTCGATTTTATCTGTTTATTGCAGAAGCCTCGGAGAAAGCATTTGCCTACTTTTGGATCACAGATTCATGCCCAGTTACTGTCAAAGCTCTAGCAAATCAAACTCCTTTTGAAGTATTGAGTCTTGCAGGGTCAATTGCTAATTCCCTTCAAATTTGAAGCCAAAAAATGAGCTAAAGGGGTTCTCTTGTGCGACATTTATGAGTTAAACATTATTATTATATTATCCTTTCACTCATTCTGTGCCTTGCGTTGAGCACACTGAAACCTGTGAATTAAATTTCTAACATTCTGGACCCTATCTTATTGAACTATGTTATGTTGAGGGTTAACAATTGTGCTAGAAATTTGAATGCAAAATCATGTTAACTTTCGAGAGATCATGTCATGTGGCTTTGTGGCATAAACGTATCGAGTTTTAGTAGAATGTTTAGGATCACACATCCAATATTTCAATATATTTACTCCAACTTTTTTTGTTTCATGAATCAAATTTGCACACCTTTAAGATCACCTATACAGCAGTTATCACTTCTAGACCATATGCAGTTTGCCTTGGAACAATACTTGGTCCAACAACTGGATATTCATTCTCTAGCTTCTCGTCACAACCACCCTTTGACGAGCCTGAACATGTGTCGAATGATAATTGTTAAGAGTCTCGTATTAGATAATATATAGTCAGAACATGTGTTTATTAGTGGGGGCAATACTCCCTCTATCAACAAATTTTGTAGGGTTAAGTTAGGGTCCAACCACATTTCTCAACATGGTATCAGAACCTTTGGTTTAAAGATCCGGTAGGCCACTTACAATGAAGTTTCTGCTATCGGGTCACCCCCCAATTTTCACGTGTCAGATGTTCAGTCTTGGGTGTGAGGGTGTGTTAAGACATGTGTTTATAAGTGGGGCAATCCTCACTCTACCAACCAATTTTATAGGGTTGAGTTAGGCCCAATCACATTTCTCAACAATAATATTCACATTGTTGGATGGAAACTCTTTCTAAATGGTCACATAGAGAAACAGTCAGACGTACCCTTAGCGTTCCGTGAATAATATTCACATTGCTGAATAAATTCTTCTACTACATACAAGAAACCGAACCAGATAATAACTACCTGATCAATAGTTTTTAGGCCTTGTAAACGAAAGAGGATTCACTATCCACTCTTATCGTCGCTGATCAGGCCTGAATTCTGAAAATGCTTCACAAGTTCAGTCTTTCCTTGTCGCTATTATACGTGTAATCCCATTTGATCTCATGAAAAGCCTGCATAAATTTTCAAAAGCTAGCATTGAAAATACTTTCAAAAGAATAATTCTACTCATATTTCTTGCATGACAAGCTATCAACTTGAAAATTGGAGTATAGAAAAAAAAAGGTATAAAAACCTAATAAAGGGGATAACAAGTTTAGCAGAAAGCATATTTATGAGTGCATAGCCCAAATTACACTTATTTTGCAAGCACAAACAGACATTAATAAATAAGTAAACCTTGAAACACCAAACAAAGCCATAATCGATCCCTAATTTACCCCTTAAACTTACAAGGTTTAGGGATAACTGGATAATTTTGAGACTCAACCTTAACCTTCCTTTATAGTTGTTTATGCACTTACGTGTGATTTGATTTATGAACGTGTGATTTGATTTATGAATATTTATTTAGGTGTGTTATTTGTTTGATTTTACATTAAATATATGTTTATAAATATTATATGAAATTTGTCCAAAAAATGATCAAATAGAGCGGTCATCCCGTTATACCGTATCCTGCTATCCCATTTTTTAGGTCGGCTGCTCCGCGCCGCTATTCGGAAATGACTACTTTGGGCGTTTGAGAGATTGAATTTTAGAATTTAAGAATTTGAAGAACTGAAATGTAAAATGTTGTTCTGTGTGTGATTCAAGTGTGTGCTCATATTTGCAGACTGATTTCGAGTTTTGTTGGCTCATATCTGGTTTACATGGTAAGTTGATTAAATTTCAAAATGCAATTTTACAATTTTTTTGTTTTCATTTTTCAGGTTGTCAAACATAGAAAACCAAAGAAAATAACCCAACACTGGGTCCAGTATGCATGTGGCATCAAGGTCTTCCGACTCGCTGCACAGGTTATTGATTTTCAAACACATCGTCCTTGTTTGTTCTCGATTTGAATAATAAATCTGCATACAACTTGCATGCACATAATATTTTTTTAGCATAACCGTTAAAGTTTGCTATACATGTTATTAATGTATTCACCTTAAAAATAATAATTCGTTATTATGAGTTTTGTTACTGTGGTTCTTTTCAATATATATTGTTGCCTTTTCCAATTTGAGTATGGACTTCCAACTCTCATGAATATTATTTTATAGAAACTGGAACTCTATCATTCTTCTGTCAAAGTTATGTTTCATTCACTTTTATATGTATATTTGACCACTAAGATAAGATATTTATTGATGATTTGATCAAATTAAATAAATAAAAAAAGCTAATGGTAAATAAGAAATCATTTTTAAATTTACATGAATCAGAAGCACTCTACCCTGTTATTAAACTCGGCAGTTATCTCGGCACAGAACAGCAAAATCAAGAAAACCGCGTCAGGCCGTTCTGTTCCGTCACATATGGGTGACTCGGCTGGAACGAATGCAATAATGGGATTGGGTTCAGAACGAGATTGGTAACATAGCTACCATTAAAAAAACACCAATATACAATCAATATATGTTATTCGAGACTATTATGCCGAAACTTCTTGTGAATCATGGAACATTGCTTAAGGGTAAATAGAATTATGCTATTCGTGAATTTGTTTATCCATAATTCACTCATAATAGAATATGCATTCATGCAAATTAATGAATTGTGTGCGAATGGTTAGATCAGTGAAGGAATGCTTGAAGGAATTAGGCCAGGGTAACTATGCTTATGAAACTCTTAGCAGCTGGAAATTTCTTATAAGTTGCATCAAGTTTCTTCTGTGGCTTGAATGTTGAAACTGATTCTATGTAAATGACATTTAATCTGGGAATGGAAATTGATAAATGCATCAATTATTTGTCAGTGAAAGAATTTCATTCAAAAAAGGGTTTTATATTGAAAATTATACACTGAATGAAGGATGTTAATTTTTCTACTTCTGTGCATATATTGCACTCCAGTTACCAACTGTGGTGTTCTTAGAATGTTCTCAACCATTTATTTTTACCATATGGGAGTGTAATTAAATATTTGTTAAGTGGCATCAGCTATATTTGTGTCTGAAGAGTTTTTCGATACGTAAGAAATGAAAGTTGTTACAAATATTATATCTCACGCGACTAACAAATTCCAACATTTATAACTTTATTATTTGCATCATATTGATTGGAGGTAGCTACACAATGTTCTTGAACCTTCATCTAATATCCTGTCTTGGTAAATCAGGATACAAAAGCTGAGGGAAGAGGTAGAATTGCTCGGATTCAAAGGAGGCTACTTGTTGCAGAAGCTGAGGAAAGGATTATGCAGTATCAAAATTATGTAGAGCAAGGATCGGTATGAACCTATACCCGACTTAATTTAATCTACTTCTCCCAAAATGAAGTTTCAAGTATATACACATACACAACATTTTATGCAAGAATACTTATGACAGTGGGTTTACCATATATGTCTCTTACAGGAGAGAGATGCAAAGTATACGTTTGGGTTGATACTTTATAGCTTGGATCGTCTATACAGTGTTGTGAAGAGACACGCCGAAGATTCTGGAGAGTGGCAGCGGTTAGTTCTAATCTCTCATGGATTTAGATTTATATTACCTTGTTATATCAGTGCAATAAAAATATGAATATTGACATTTAATATTATGAACAGTTTGCGACAAGATATAATTAAATTGGCTAGTCCTCGCCTGCAAACAGACACCAAGCTCATTGTGATGTCAAACTTGAAGATCCTCTACGACTGCTTGCTTCCTGTTCTCAAATCTCGGTAGCAAATTTTCCCTTGTTAAAGATGGATCTCTTTTCCTTTGAAATCCAATTTTGTTCTTTTGAAATCCAATTTTGTTCTTTTGATACCCAATTTTGTTGTAAATGCTGAACCACAACTTTATTTTGTAGTGATTAGTAAAATTGTTTATACTTTTGTGCATATTTTTTTGGTACAGAATAATACACCAAAGTTACACACATCATCACTCGATGGAATCGCCTATTTGCAAAACCCATCCAACCTAACACCCTCTAAAAAAGATCCAATCCATGGGATAATATGCTTTGCTAGTATTAATATTAAGCGCCAACTCTCCTATATTACCTTTTGCCTTCCGCTTTAGGGCATGAATAATCTCAATAACTATCATCGTGTTATCAAGAATCGACCTCCCTTTCACAAATGCCGATTGTTCCTCTGATACACATTTGGGTAAGTAACCCTTCATCCTATTTCCTATAAGCTTGGACATCATTTTATACATTATATTGAACAACGAAATAAGGCGTAGATCCTTCATTTGAGTGAGCAATCCTTCATCCTATTTCCTAGAAGTTTAGACACCATTTTATACACTATATTGCACAACAAAATAGGGCACAAATCCTTTGTAGATTGAGGGTTCTCACACTTCGAAATGAGGAAAATTTAGTGTCATTTAGTTTGTACGGGAAGAAATCTCTCTCCAACCAGTTGGTAACAACAATGTATATATCATCACCACTCATACCCTTTAATTGTTGATAAAAAACCGAATTAAATCCATCCAATCCTGGCAATTTATCTGGATGCATTTGAATCAAAGTTTTGTATAATTCCTCCATCAATATTGGCTCCATCAACTTCTCATTATCCTCTTGAGACATCCTCTTCTAAATAAGTAACAAAACAATGATTTTCTTCTTTGAAAGAGAAAAGTTTACTGAAATACTCCTTAGCCACTTCACACAACCCTGTTTGTTAAAAGGAAAGCATTAGTTGAACCAAATATAATATCATCAACATAAACTTGGACAATTAAGATGTCATTCTTAAGTGTCTTTATGAAAATGTAGTGTCTACTTTTCCTTTATGAACGCCACTTTTTAACAAAAAAATACCCAGTCTCTTATATCAAGTTCTACGAGCTTGTTTGAGTCTATAGAGTGATTTCTTTAGTTTGAAAACATAATTTTGGTGGAATGGGTCCTCAAACCCAGGTGGTTATTTCGCATACACTTCTTCAGAAATAACTCCATTTAAAAATGCACTCTTAACATCCATTTGGTATAAAATAATGTTATAATTAATAACATAAGAGATAAGTAACCTGATTGCCTCTAACCTTGCAACTGGTGCAAAAGTTTCAGAGAAATCTACACCTTCTTGCTAACTGTAGCCTTGAGCTACAAGTCTAGCCTTATTTCTTACCACTTATCCTTCCTCATTGAACTTGTTTTTAAATACCTATTTTGTTCCAATATTATTCTTCTACAAATGTTTGGGTACCAGATCCTAGACATCATTTCTTTGAAACTAATTCAACTTTTCTTGCATTACCATAATCCAACCATCATCAGAAAGTGCTTCATCAACCAAAGTGGGTTCAGTGATGGAGAGTAGTCGCAACATTGAATGCTTTTCTCTAAAGGCATACATAGACTTCTAGGGCTATCTTTGTTTCCAAGAATGAACTCTTCTGGATGAGAAGATTTGTACTTGAAGGTCTTCTTGGATTGTGATGCATTTGAGATGCCATCTTGAGCTTCTTCAGATTCTTCAACATCTGGATGAGCTTTTGAGGTTGGATCAACTTCTTGATCACTTGCTTCTAAAGTTATGATAGCTTCTGATGGATTTTTATCTTATAAACTTACAACTTTTGGACCTCTAGCTCCTTATGTATCTTCAGATACACAAATTTCTAAAAAAGTTTGAACTAGCTGTGACATTTTACTGTCATGCTCTTTATCATCAAATTTGGTGTGTATTGACACTTCAACCATATTGATTTCAGAGTTATACAACCAGTTTTCCTTTGAACTTTCAGAGTGTCCTAAAAGGTACCCTTATGAGCTTTGACATCAAATTTCTTCAGATATAATTTAATGTTTAAGATGTAACTTGTACATCCAAACTGATGAATATAAGAAATGCTTGGCTTTTTTTTCTTTGAACAACTCATATTAAGTCTTGTTCATAATAGGTCTAATATAGATTCTATTCTGAACATAACATGATGTGTTCACAAGTACTTAGGTAAGTCATTTTCATGGATCACGATTCTGGACATTTTTTGTAAGGATATGTTCTTTCTCTCTATAACTCCATTTTGTTGTGGAGTTTTAGGAGAAGAGAACTCATGGAAAGTTCCATGTTTTTTTTACAAAAAAGTTCAAATGACTTATTTTCAAATTCACCACCATGATCACTTCTTACCTTTAATTTTTCTTTTTATTCCTTTTCAATTTGTACTTGTATGTAGAAGATGTTGAACACATCATATGATTCATCCTTAGTTCTGAAGAATTTAACGCATGTCCATCTGCTATATCATCAACAATGACTACTCCATATCTCTTCCTGTTGATTGATGCAGTACTAACAAGACCAAATAAATCAATGTGAAGTAACTCTAAGGGTCTAAAGGGAGAGACAATGTTTTTAGTTTTGAAAGACCTTATAAACTTTTTTTTTCAATCTACAAATAAGTTCTTCTTCTTTACAATTTTTTATATATTTCAAAACATTTGTTAATTGCCAAACAAAACACACGTGTTCTGTTTCCTACCCGGTTCAGGAGAGGTTTCAGAGATATATCTCTTGAATGCGATAATAGGGCAGTACGAAAATGTATCTCTGAAATTAGCACTAATACTAGTAATACATGATAGAATTTTTTAGGTTCACATTTGTCTAGAACTTCTATAAATTAGGGTCTCTTGTTTTTTTATTTCATAAAAACAAAAAAATGTCACAAATAAACATCATTTGGTATGTCGCAAATGTCTCATTTTCCAGTGCGACACCCGAGCAAAAATTTAAGCTCAATAAGTACACCTCTTTTGTAGATATGCAATACGAGGTGGTTAATCTACTACATTACAGAGAAAATAAAAAAATTATGAAGTTAAAGTATCGTTCACTGTCAATTAACAACGAATGCAAAATTGATTTCAACAACTATAAGCTTAAGATAGACGCAGATGTAAGAGTTATGTGAAATACGTTTTTTCCGTTTTGAAACAAAAGTTTCGATCGAGATGAAAGTGATGATTTCAAGACTGGTCAAAGATATTGTGAAGATGTTGAAGCATCCACCTGTATATTGAAATGTAATGTTTTATTTTATGTTGAAATCATTTGTGTTATGAATGGTAATATTTTGCCAAAATACAAATTTCTGATTTTTTCTTCAACATCTTATTTTATTTTATATTGATTTTTGATTTGTGTTCAGGATGCGCCGAAAAGTATATATTCAAAATCTGAAAACATTTTAGTATTTTTATATGGTACATTAGTAATATATAAGATATTTTTAAAAATTTCCTTAAATTAAAAGCAAATAGGTGGTACTAGTATGCGATAAGAAACTCAAATATTTATATTTTTCTGATATTTGAAGTATGTAGACACGAGTTCCATCTAATTTAAGATAGACAATTTTTTAATTTAATTTAAATCTTTAAAAATATCATAGTATAAAATAATTTTACAGTTTTTTTAATGAAAAATAGTTTTTAAGTTATGGAGCAAATTTTTTTATATTTTCTCACAGTCTTTTAAAAATAACTACCTAATGCTACATTTTAATAAGACGGCCTTATAAAATTAATTTATGTTTATTTTATTAACTTTTCTTTAATAATACAAATAAAATAAAATGTAACAAAAATTTATTAACTTTAAAATAAGGTTGATTCACTTTGAAAGAAATTCTTTAATTTTCATTTTAAAAAATAGAATTTTTCACCTAAATAACCAATATTTCATCCACTAAATTCTAATATACTCAACATTTCATCATATATATCAATCTATTCATGTTTTACGTTTTTTTTTTTAAAATTGTAGAGGGCGACATGGGTGTTGGAGTCACCCTTATAAATTATAGGAGAGTGTCATCCCCTTTGGAAGCATCCTATAATTTATAAGGGGGGGCGTCATCCTCTTTGGAAGCACCCCTTATGAGTTTAATGAGGGCGACATCCCTTTGGAGCCCCCTATATATCACTTAATTTTTTAATTCTAATATAAATAATATAATTAATATTTAATATTATTTTAGACCAAATTTTTTTTTGTATAAATAGTTAGACTTGTTTCATTTAAATTAACATTGTTTCATCCAAATTTAAGAGAGTGAGTCATATATCTTAAAAGATATGGACATGTAATTTTTTCAAGAACGAAGCCTTCGATAATGATGATGTTTTGGAACATCCAGAGTTTAGAGCAACTACGAAGAAATTTGAATCGGTGATTAGAAGGAGACATTTCAAATGGTGAAAGCATTAGGAGTATTGAAAGACTTGTCTCGTACTTCTCCGTTGAAGACGAAAATATACGGCGGGAGTGGGTGCGAATTAGAGATGACAACGCAGTTAGGTCTATGATGTTTGGAACTGATGATATTAGTTTGATTGTTGTTATATCTTAGTTTATGTTGTAATAATCGTTATATTTTTAATGATTTGCGCCCCCATTAAACTCATAAGGGGTGCCTCCAAAGGGGACGACGCCCCCTTATAAATTATAGGGTGCCTCCAAAGGGGACGACGCCCCCTTATAAATTATAGGGTGCCTCCAAAGGGGATGACACCCCCTATAATTTATAAGGGTGACTCCAATACCCATGGCGCCCCTATACAATTTAAGAAAAAAACGTGAAACATGAGTAAATTAGTATATATATATGATGAAATGTTGGATGTATTGCAATTTAGGGGGTGAAATGTTGGTTATTTAGGTGAAAAATTCAAAATAATAATTTTATTTTAAAAACGAAATTCAGTAATATATACCTTATTAAATATAGTAGAACAGTAAATGAAGACAACTAACAATTACATCAATTTTCTCCTATATTTAGTACAACAAACAATTATACAAAACTAAAAAACAGATAAAAATAGCTATTAAAATTCAAATGAAAAACATCATACTAATGAAGAAAATCCATGCATTAAACGGTCTCCAGTTTATGTTTTAAAAGGTGTGACAAGACAGTTTAACTAGAAAGTTGTTATTTATGGATACAAACAACCAGAAACAACATCTTAAAACCATGTTGTCAAAAACAACTTATTATATTAAAGACACATTTTGTTGCAATTCTTATCAAATAAACTTTTTTACAATCTTACACTCTTCGATTCTATCTTTTCCATTCTCTCAGAGAAATGGAGCAGATAGATTCGAAGAGTGTAAAATATATGACTGATATGATATTAGATCATACTATTTTTCCGTTTATAAGTATCAATACCACCAGTTCCGATAGAGACCTGAGATTTTTAGTACTCGATGTTTGTATCGACATGCCACCAAAGATTGTATCAGATGGAATTTGGGCTAACCGTGATCATGGTGTAAAGCCAATGAAATCAACTCTGCCATTGTTAGAGCTGCAAATTCTTACTATCTTTGCCGTTACTCAATGCTTTCATTTGGTTCTTAAGCGACTCGGAGTCCCTTATTTCGTTTCACAGATCATGGTAAGAATAATTCTTAACCGTTTGCATAACGCGAAACATGCAAAATTTTATCATCTGAGTTGTACTTACGAGCTAGGGGACAAATTTTTTGCAGGCTGGTTTGGTTTTAGGTCCTTCGTTGAAGATTTCAAATTCATGGAATCATTTCAAGAACCGCTTGTTTCCTTACGGTTCTGAAGATGTAATAGGCGTGCTATCGATAATTGGTTATGGATTATTCCTGTTTCTAAATGGTGTGAAAATGGATGTCAGCATGATAACAAGAACAGGTAGAAAAGCATGGACGATAGCGTTTTGTTCGTTTGGGATTCCGACGTTTCTTGGTCTCGTAGTAAGTTACTTATTCTTAGAAGATTGGCAAAACTACCTAGGAGAATACGAATCGAAAAATCTTCCTGTTATAGTTATAGGACAGAGTGGTTGTTACTTTGCTGTCATAGCTTCATTGCTCTCTGATCTCGAGATTCTTAACTCAGAACTCGGACGTTTAGCGCTCTCAACATCTATGGTTATGGATGCTTTCTACTCGATTGTTTCAGGACTCGGCACTGCTTTTATTAGCAGCATTAAAACCGATTCGCATGATGTTGATGATGGAAAAGGACTCGGTAAAGCTCTTTTAACTGTTTTCTATTACTTCTGTTTCTTAGGAGTGACTCCTCTTTTGTTGCGTCCTATAATGAAATGGTTTGTCCGAAACACGCCAGAAGGTAGACCGATGAAGAAAACATACGCCTATATTGTGTTCATCATGGCTCTTGCAGTTGGAATGTTGGGGCTAACAGCACGCCAAAGTGTTTTAGCTGGATTCTTAATTCTCGGTCTAATTGTTCCCGACGGTCCTCCGTTAGGAACCGAAATGATTAAGCAGTTGGAGTTGTTTTCGACTTGGTTTCTTTGTCCTGTTTTTGTCACAAGCTGTGCTATGAAAGTTGATATCGGTGTACATGTTGATAGCAAGTTGATTCTTGTTTGGGTTGGGATTATTGTTCTTGTTCATTTGTTTAAGATGCTTATGACAATTGGAATTTGTTGGCATTGTAACATGCCTAAGACTGATGGTTTGTGTCTTGCTCTCATGTTAAGCTGTAAAGGTGTTGTGGATTTTTGCACCAATGTGTTTCTTCATGATGCCTTGGTAATTAATTACTTTAACTAATAATACCTAAAATTCATTGGTAATTTAAAATTTGCATGAGTTCTGAGAATGTGTTTCTCTCGAGGTCTCAGGTTGTTTCAGGACAATTTTATAGTTATTGAATAAAAGTTGTCTAATTTTTGTCTCCTATAATTCTTATGCAGCTTTTGAGCAGTGAAGCACTATCTGTTATGACTTTAGCTGTGTTGGTGATGGGAACCACAGCGCGAATCGGTGTGAAGTTCTTGTATGACCCTTCAAGAAAATATGCAGGTTATCAAAAAAGGAGCATCTTGAATTTGAAACCAAATTCAGAGCTTAGGATAGTTTCATGCATCCACAAACCAAGTCACATAACTCCAATCAAGAATATTCTTGAGATTTGCACTCCAACAACAAGCAATCCATTGGTAGTTCATGTATTGCATCTCATGGAGCTTGTTGGAAGATCCTCTCCCATTTTCATCTCGCATCGCCTTCAAGAACGGCTTGGTTCAGGTCACCATACTTTTTCTGAGGATGTTATTGTTACTTTTGATCTTTTCGAACACGACAATGCAGGTATTGCAACAGCGAATACCTACACGGCTATATCTCCGTTGCGTTTTATGCACGACGATATCTGTTATCTTGCATTGGACAAAGTGGCGTCAATAATCATTCTCCCTTTTCATTTGAGATGGGCAGAGGATGGTTCTATTGAATCCACGGACGAGAATATTAGGGCTTTAAACACCAAGGTTCTCGAGAGAGCACCATGTTCAGTAGCGATCCTTGTCAATCGGGGAGACTCTTCATCTATCAGCATAAACGATAATATGAAGGAAATCGCGCTGGTTTTCTTAGGAGGTCCAGATGATAGAGAAGCACTGTGTTTGGCGAAAAGGGCTATCAAAGAAAACACTTTTCACTTAGTAGTATATCACTTGGTTTCATCAAGCAAGAATGATGAGTTCAGTAGTTGGAATGTTATGCTTGATGATGCAATACTAAAAGATGTTCAAGGAAGTTACGGTAGTCTAGATAATGTGACATATGATAGAGTAAACATTGAAAACACTTCAGATACAACTGCATTCATCTCAGATATCGCGAATCAGTACGATTTCATTATCGTCGGGAGACGCAACGGGATCAAATCGCCTCAGACCGCTGCACTTGAAGATTGGACCGAGTATCCTGAGTTAGGTGTGATCGGTGATTTGCTTGCTTCACCGGATACTAATACCAAAGCTTCAATTTTAGTTGTGCAGCAACAAGTAACATTTAGGCCATGATGTTTTTACACAAACACAACAATTTTCTTCTATGCATCATTCTAGTTATCTCAATTTTCTTCTATGCATCATTCTAGTTATCTCAATTTTTTCATCAAAACTTTACACATTCATGTAATGTAAATATTCATTTGAATTCAATAGTGAGAATCAGTTATTAGCGTACCATAGTCCATCTGTTACAGAAGTGAAATTTCATTATCATAAGAAAAATAAATTTAAAACTGGAAAATTTGACAAACTATCATTTATCTAAATCAAACGGTAGCACAAGTTTGTCATAATAATCAATCAAGTACTCAAACAAGAACACAACTTTAAGTAAAAAAGCACATGTCAGGACCGAAAGCATCACATAATTCAAATGCCGATCTCTCAAGATACAAATAAATGTTCATGAAAGTCAGAAATAATGTCTTCCGGTTTAATTCCCTCCTTTATTAACTTTCTAATGGACATAAGCTGCAAATAAAACTAACAGCTAGTAACACTTGCTTGTTGCTAGAGATCTTCAATCCTGCAAAAGAAAAGATTGAAAACAAATATGTCTTGGTTACGATCAAGGGAAAAATGAGTTTCCACACCTCGACTTGACTATAAGTTATTTTAGTAGTTTTAGCTTTAGGAACAAGCAAAACAGATAAGTTACAAATAAAAGGAGTTGATACCTCGTCATCATCGTCGTCATCACCTCCAGCACCCTTATCTTTCTTAAGATGAGTAGTACCGCCTACTTTGCTGATTGGCAATTTCATTCCACCAAAGGGAGTATCAACATCAATGTTACCTTTCATGGTGTAACCGAGTCCTTTTCCTCTAATCATATCCCACAACGCAGAACCGAAATCCTTAGGCCTAAAGGTAATCGGAACATCAATGTAACTTATTCCGTTTTTCTCAAGATTCGCAGATTTACTGAGCTGTGCACCTCCAATGTTATCATCGCCAAGCCAAACCTCATAATCAAGTGCATTGAGACCTAGATCAAAATCATTCATGTTTTCCAACTTCAAATGAAGATTCGCAATCGTCTCTTCCATTGAAAACTTTTTGAACTGAATCTTATCAATATCAACATCAGGCTTATACGGAATCGGAATTTTTCCTGTTTTATCCAATGGTAACGTAAACCTTCCCAAGACAGGAACATCGAAGATAAGATCAACCTTAATCAAATAAGGAATAATACTCCCGGGTTTAATATCAGCATATGTTTTCTTAATATCATCGTAAATCAAAGTAAGAGGAATTTTCACAGTTTCCTCTCCATGAGAATGGATAGTACCTGCATCCGGTATCAAACCGGAAACGAGCTTCCTTCCATCACTCTCAATCAAATAATTAATATCAATCAAAGGAATTGGAACCGGATTAGGGTTCTTAATAAGAACATCAACAACAAGATCTATCTTATGAAGATTAACCGTTGGAATGTGAATCCCTTTAACATCCGCAGTCGGTTTCCCGATTCCAATAACTCCCTCAATTTTCTCACCAATGTCATGAATGAAATCCTTCACTTTCTCAACAAATCCGTCATTCTTTTCCTCTTTATCATCTTCCTTGTCTTTCTCAGACTTGAACAAACCCCTTTCCGACACTTCTGGGACATCATCGGACTTCGACATTTCGAATCAGTATAGCAATCAATCAACGCTGCTCAGGAATCAAGATCCAATCCAATTACACAACAAATCAAATTCAAATCAATCATAAACTCATAAGATCATAATTAATCAGATCACATAAGCATTAATACAAAAAATTGGATCAAAACTGAACAACACTGCAACATTGTGGATCAAATCAATACAGATATAGATTAGTATTAGATACATAAATGTTATTAAAAATATAAACTTTAGATTACTATTGAATAAAAAATGCAGAAAAAAATTAAAATTGCATATCAATTGAGTAGATCATAAGATAATATGAGAAATAAAAAAATTAAAAAAAATATAGAAATTTGGTTGGAGTAGAGAAAGTACCTGAAAATTGAGATGAGATTGGTGAAGAAAGAGAGATTATGAGTGTGAATATTCAAGTATAGTGAGATGAAGAATTTGAGGGAAGAATTCGATAAGAGAATGAACGGTCAGATATTTGGCACGAAGAAATGAGGAATGGTAGCCGTTGATTGAAGTCCTAGAATTAGTTTAATGATTTACTGTGACTACTTCAAATGATGATGAACAGTTCACTATCCAAAGGATGGGGTCCACACGGAAACTACACCGACCAACCACCTTTTTCATTTTTAATATCTCTATAAATTTTTTTTATCAAGATTATGTTGACACCATTTTCTACACCGTACACTCAATTTACTGTTCACAAATATTTGAACAAATTTTTCAGAACATGATTAATAGTGTGTATTTTATTGGTTAATGAAGTAGTGAAAGTTGTTAATAAATTATAGGTAAAATAATTGGTTAATGATGTAGATTTTTGTGGTTAATGCAACTGTGAAGTTGGTTAATACGCAATCTTATATTTGTGTTATAAAATAAATTTTAAAAATAAATATTTTTTTTTTAAAAATTAATATTTTAAAAAATATATATCATTTTAATTAAAAAACACTGTTCACCGTGGTGAATAGTATATACGGTGTAAGTATTGGATGTAAAAAAGGGTGTAAGAATAACATTTTTGTTTTTTTATTTCTAATATGAGACTTTTAAATAGGCTTTAATCATGATATTCAAAATCCTATTTAAAGTCACATTTATGGAGTGAGCTTTTATGATTTACCAAACGGATACATGTTTATCATGAATGAGGAATATTTTTAAATTACATAGTCACAAAGTTTTTACATCATCACATTACAAAATACAAAATTAAAGGAGAATTTTATTACATCTTTACATTAATCCGAAAAAAAAGTACAAAAATGATATTTTTTTAGTGTGCATTACATTTTAATAAAATAAAAAGTTTTTTTATTACATAATAGCTAGTGTACCATTTAATCATGAAGAAATTCTAAAAAGAACAAAAATGAGGAAATGGCAAAAGATTGTAAACTAGATTCTTTCATTTAATCAACAAATTAAATAAATTAGATAAATTTTTTTTAACAAAGATTGTACTAACGGTTAAAAATTCAATACAACTTATAGAGAATTTCATTCAATCAATCTTGATGTCAAGATTGTTTCAACTCACGTAATGACAATGAAAAGAAAGTTTAGAAAGAAAGAAAGAAAGTAAACGTTGGAGAAAAAGAAGATGAACCATTTTTTGCAGATAACTCTCTGCCCACATGTCGCTACGCGAAAAATGACACTGAGTCGCCACCTGATTTTATTTATCCCAAGGAGGGAAAGGGAAATAACGATAAAACCTTTAGGAAAAGAGCATGGTCATCGCAACCAAGTTTTAAGGTTCGGGAGTCGGTTATGCGAGGGAAAGGTATTAGCACTCCCTCACATCCATCGTACTTGATAGAAACCTTCTAAGTTGTCTAGCTTGAATGGGTGTTTTAATATAAAAGTTTGCTTGCTTAAAAGAAAAGGGGTTGGGCTTTTTTATTAGAGTGCTCGCCAAGGATTGTGACCCTTGTGCCTACGTATCCTCACTTAAAAGAAGTGAAGAATCAGAACTCCGTAGTTCGGAGGCTTGTGAAATGGTTGTTTGTTGGTTGATTTTATACCTTAAAAAAGGGTTTTCGAATTGATGCCCTAAGGCAAAAAGAAGTTTGACGAGTTGATGTTATTTTTAGGTTTTTTTGAGAAAAACATGTTCTTGATTAGGATCACACTAAAGACTTTGGATAGAGATGAATGTTTCGAATAACCAAGTCAAGCGCCTTGTATTCAAAACATTCGAAACGAGTGTATGAGGGTTCCATTCTCATTCCTTCTCCACCACTTTAAAGCTTATGGCGTATAAACCTAATCGTATCTTTATTTTATTTTTTTTGGATTTTTTATGAGAAAAGTACCACTTGATGTTGGATCAAGGGTTTTATTGCTTGTAAAAATATTTGAAGTGATGCAAACAAGGTCGATGGTGACGCACAAGACAATCGACTTACAAGGGTGAAAAAGCCTTGATAAAACCGAAAGTTTGTTTTTGAAAATAGATTTTAGAAACAAAAGTCAAAATGACCGTAATAGTAACCATATACAATGGCCGTACAACCACATCGGGTTAGTCGGCTTGAAAAAAAACAAGTCATGAAAAAAAACAGCATGAATTTTTTTTTTTGGAAAAAAACTAGGGAAAGTTCGTTGTGCGAACCTTGCAGTGAAGTTGCCCAGAAAAACAGCAAGAAGTTCGTTGTGCAAACTTCCTAGCGAACATGCACTATTCACAATCAGAGGCGAAAGGCACTGAAGTTCGCTGTGTGAAGCTGCCTAGAAAAACAACCAGAAGTTCGTTGTGCGAACTTCGTAGCGAACGTGCACTATTCACAAACAGAGGTGAAAGGGGGAAAAGTTCGCAGTGCGAAGGTGCCAGCGAACAACTCGCTAGCTAAAAACAAGGGAAAACTGACTGTTCAGTGACACTTTGAGTACCACAAAAACTTGTTCGCTAGGCGAAGGGAATGTTCGCAGTATGAACATGACAGTAAAAATGAGTATTTTTCAACTCATTTCACTATGAAAACTACGTTATGCTCTTCTTTTTTCTTACTTTTTACAACAGTTCTTGGTCACTCTTGGGACCTTATTACAGTATGAATAACACAAATATCATTTAAGAAAGAGAAAAATAAAAACATGCAAATATGTAAAGAGATAAGAGTTTGAAAGAAAGGATACCCAAGAGCTACTCTTCTCCTTCTAATCGCCAATGGCTTTTGTTGGATGTGCTCTATGATTCACCTCCTTCTTCTGGTTTTCTATCCCTCTCTTGTTCTCTCAATGATTTTTTTCTCCTTTCTCAATCTCTTTTTTCTATTTTTTTTATAGTTCTCTTGTGTTTTTCTATCTCTCTTGATTTTTCTGGTTTTTTCTCCCCTATCTCTTGCTCTATCTCCCTTTTTCCTTTGTTTGCTACTGCTCCCTCTCTTTTTAAGCTCAGCACCTTAGGGTTTCCACTTGTTTCAAAACTTCAGATTTTTCATTGAGAAATGTCTCTTACCACTTTCTTGATGTCACTCTCTTTCTTTCTATTTTCATGTATGTTGCCTTGATGTATTTTTGCTGCTGCACTTGCCTAGCCTGTCTTTTTTCTGTTGCACTTTGTATTGCTCACAAATCTTGTACCCATTTGTTGGCTTGTGCTTGGACTGTCCTTGTGATCAATGTTACTACCTTTGATAGAATTTTGAAATTATGATATTTGATGTGTAAATGTATCACCATGAGTTTATTCCTTTGGTTTTGTGACATGAATTGTTTGGTTATGAGACAATTTGTCACTTCTTGCATGAGACTGTTTTGGATCACATTAAAAATGCCCATGACTAAGCATGCATAGTCTTGATCTTGACATGTTCCAATGTTAAGTTGTATCTTAATTATTTTCCTTGGATGTTTGTAAGCATAATGAGGAACATGTGAACTTGATGGGGAATGAAGGGTACCATAGCATGAAGTTGATTAGAAGCTTGAATTAAGATTAGAAATAGCTTAATTTTCTAAGCATTACTTAGAGTTAGAAACTTTGTAACAAATGTGACATTCTTGCAATGTCATAAAATTCCCCTTTGTAATATTCTTGAATTCATGAATCTTGAATTTGGAATGATGGATCTTCCTTATGCCATTGAATTTAAAATGAATGAAGTCTTGAATTATGAACTTGTGATCTTGACTTATGTCTTGCAAATTTGAATTCCACTTGAACATAGAATTTGAAACAAAGTTGGATGAAGAAATCTTGAATTAGGCCTTGCACTTCATGTTCATTAGGAATGTTGATCTTGAATATCTTAGTATTTTCAAGTAACTTCTCCTTGAAGGAATCTTCATGAGTAGACTTTTCAATTTGAACCAAACCTTAGATGATGAACCTTTTCTTCCATGTAGCCCATGATAAGCGATTTATCTTATTTGGAATGGAAAACAACGAAGTGACCCAATCCTCACGTTGTGAACCCACATGCTCGATATGCAATAGAAATATGTATGATATGACGAACACAGGGTATGAAAGGCTAAAGGTGAAAATGAGGGCGTGACACCACAAATTGTGAAAATTCTGTTATTTCACTTGCAACTGCAAACTATGAAATACAAAATATAATGAGATGAGATGAGATGTTTATAAAACAATAGTTTCTCCCTATTTATAGATTTAGGTTAGCTTGCACCCCATGTCAAGGTTCAAACTATAAAAGCCCAAAAAAATCTAATATAATATTTCTAAATCAAATCTGATATTTCTATATCAAATATAATCTTTCTAAAACAATGAATTACATAGTTAACATACCACATAATTTATTGTGTCAAAACTATCTACATTAATCATAGACTTTAGCTTCTTGAACACTTCGACTGACATTTCCTTCGTCATGATGTTTGCAATTTGATTCTCAGTTCTCTAGTGTTCCAAGTTCATCTTCCCTTCTGCTACCTGCTCTCAAAGATAATGGAACCTCATTTTGATGTGCTTGTTTCGACTATGTGCTATTGGATTCTTTTCCAAGTTGATCGCTGACATG